TCAAAAGCATTATCTGATACATGGCAATGGTGGTTATCTAGGCCTGAATCTTCATGAGGTTGCTCTTCGCTTTAGACTACTCAGACAACAAGGTTACTATGTATCAGCAGGTGTGTGATATCAACTAACTAAATTGCCTTTTCAGTTTTTAGTTCTTTATTAAACCATAGGTTATATCTTTGTTTGGCCGGAGGGAATGGAATGCCATTTCCAGTCACCACTTCCGTTTGATAATTTCCAAACAAAATCTTTTTTTTTTTTTTTTTTGACAAAAAAAATTATATTATTAAATTAAATTAATAATTAATTAATTATCTAATTAAAATGATACATATAAAATTATTAATAAAATTAATATTAATTTTTATTTTTTTACTCATTCAAATACTATTTAATATAAAAATATAATAATTATATTAAGTTAGAAAAATTCATTTATAAAATTAAAAAAAAGGGGGTCTGTGTCGAACTTGAACCGGTACTTCCTGTTCATATTTTAGAGGACATTTTGGTCATAAAGAATAAAAAATTTGGTAATGGGTGTTACTGAATAAAATTATGTTTCTGATATGGACGGCAAACAATGATACGGAGATGCAGTTCGTCCAAAAAAATAAATAAATAAATAAAAAGACAAGGAGATGCAGTAGCTTATTCTTCACTGTGAAAATAACGAGGTTGATGCGTTTTATTTATTTCATTTAAAAAAAAAATCAACCTGTGTTTACAAGTTAAAATTGTATTTATAATTTTTTTATTATTAATTTATATAAAAATAAAAATAAAAATAAATTTTAATTTTATTAATTATTTAATTAAATTATTTTAAGTGACAGTAATGTAAAAATAAAATTTATTTTTATAATAATTTTTATTTAAATTAATAATAAAAATATAATAAATTCATCCTAAAATATTACTAGGATTTCTCTAATTTTTTTCTCACCTATCCCGTTGGAATCCGTATAAAAAATTATTAAACTATCAATTTGTTCGCTCAACTTTCAAATTTATATTAAAAGTGTCTTTAACTCTAGAAAATTATTAAAATGTCTTTAAATTTTAATATTTGATAGTAAAATAATTCTTCCATTAATCAAAATACCATATAATTAGTAATCTTACTACAAAATCAATTCTTTTTTAAAATATTAATGATGTATAAAATCAAACAATTATATTTTATCATAGTGATAATTTCATTTATATATCAAATTGATATGTAATTAAAATTAAAAAATTAAAGTAGTATAATAATTAAAGTTCAAAAACTAAGTTGGTATTTGTCTTTAAAATTTAAGGACTATTTTGGTATCAAAAATTAAAATTTAAAGATAATTTTAATATTTGTTAAAGTTTAAAAATAATTTTGATATAAATTTAAAAATTAAAAGACTAAACTAGTATTTTAACCTAAAAAATTTCAAGTCAATATCAACCAAGACACCACTTAGGGCTTACAAAATGGATTAGAGTAATTTTTTTTTTTAATGGTAATGGATTAGAGTAACTAAAGGTTTGCACAGCAGAAAACATAATGATTTTGATTAACACGTTAATTAATCATGCTAAAAGCAAATAATAGCTTTTTCGTCCACTTTATGACTTTTTTTGGTCTCTCTAATGATACCAATATTAAAATAGATACAGTGGCATGTCTGGTGTGGTGCTTTCTTTGACCTGTCCCCACCTCTCTTTTCTTTAATTAAAGTTAAATCCTAACATTTGCAAGGAACGAGCAAATAAAAAAAAAAAAAATTGCCTGTGACAGATTTTGATCTAATAGTTAAAATTAGATAATATAATTGTTTTATGTTAGTATTAGATTTGTTTTCTTTTTAAAAGTAGAAATTTTTTATTTCCAAAACTAAAAGCTCTGAGAAAAGAAAAGTCTTCTTTCTCACTTCTTTTTTCTTTCAAACACACCAAAATAGAAAATGATACCTAACAAACCCTAAGACACTTATAAAGTGTTAGAATGGTAATTTTTTAATGATTTTATTATCATAAAAATTATATTATTATTTGATAATTATTTTTAAAAGCATTATATAATTATTAAATTATATAAATTATTAATTAAAAATTAATTTAGTTATAATAAATTAACATTTTTAAAGATGTGTAATATAAAAAAAATATTGTGAGATTGTAACTCCAAAACGCAATCTTAAAACTACTAAAATTATAAATATTTCCTTTTAGTAGAAATTCACCATGAATCATATTGAGAATGACCCATAAACAAAAACTTCATAAACCTATGATGATGTTCTTCATGCTGGTTACAGACTTCACAACATCTTGAATCATTGCAACAATGAACCTTCATCATTCATACTCTAACCTGCCAAGAAACGCGTTGTCCCTGATAATGTCTTTCATAGGCGTACGTTGGATTCTGGTAACTTATTCCAATCCACCATGCGGTTTCCATTGCTCCCTTCCCCGGAAACTGCTTGACCATCATGCTGTCTCTTTGCCTGGCATACGCAGTGCCAGTACCTGAAAACACTTTCTCACAGGTCCATTGCTTCTAAGCCATACTCTAATGCAATTTGAGGCACCTTTTTCATACTCAGGACCCTGATCTCCATTTGTTGCGGTAAAGAGCAGTGCCATTGGCAAAGCAGTTTGGCCCACTGAAGGCAGATACAGTCAGTATATGTTGCTCAAGCGCTCAACATGAGAAAACAGATTAAGAAGCACCAATTCCAGTAGTTTGATCTTGCTCAAAGAAGTTATAACCACCATAATCATGATAAAAGGAACCTTCCATTAGGAAATAGGAAAGCATGCGGGAAAAGAGTATCAAAGCCACAATAATTGAAGGGATATCATTTTCAACAGCGCTTGAAATCAGAAGCAACTATCTAAAGATGTTTTCCTTTCAGATGAAAAGAGGGATAGAAGGTAATAGCAGGATTGTTGAGGAGTCGCATCATGTCCCAACAACACAACACATGCTTAGGCTGTAGAGCTGAATACATCATCCTTTGGATGATTTGTCACTGCAAAGCTGTTTACCTCAACCTTGGATTCATCATTATCCTTCCACAACTATATCTTATCTTGGATTGAGGAAATTAGGGAGAGCATAACATAAATTCAAGAATTACAAGGATTTAGAATTGAATATTCTCCACCTTTTAGTTGAACCTTCAGTATTGAAATGAAGGAACAAATGGAAGAAAATAAGGTGGAACTAATAATGGAGACCAAATTAAAAAGTAAGTTGGCATCCAGGTGCATTTGGGAAGAATAGATACTTCAATTCCCAAAAACGAGTACTCAAACTGCAATTATTAACATTCCTCAAGACCAAGTTGACATCGACTAACTACACAACAGACTAGAATTGTTTCATAAAATTTGATTTCCTGACCTTAATTAAAGACGAATACACCAATACAGAATATCTTAAACCCTGTTTCAGAATGATGTGCAAGCAACTTCAATGAGCCCCAACCATCAACTTGGATTACCATGTTAACCTGCAAAAAAGATGCAAAGAAACATCTCTGTATCAAAATACAAATTCATAGGATGATTTGTTTTCCCTTTTTCCTTCTTTTTTATGGGAGGTACTTACACCACACTTTCTCATCCAGAGGTGGAGTCTGACGTAGTTGCCTGTTGTCTCGGTCTTCTCTGAGGAGGTGGTCCATCTCTCCGTCTTTCATACCTCTTACTTTGATATTTGGAATTATTGCCCCGTTGCTTTGGCTGATAAGTTGGGTATGAGCATGGAATAATTTCTCCATTGATATACTTGTCCCCTAAAGAAAAAAGAAACAAAAATGAAAGACATTTTAGCACCTTTAAACACATAAAAAGAAAAAAAACGCAACAAATTCCTCTAAAACAAGTAAATGAATCACCTCCATAGTCCTTGTTCTTCACATCTATATACGAGTCAGGTAAGACCCAAAGAACTCCAGGCAATCCTACAAAAGGAGGAGATATATTAAATCTAAGAAGAAAGACAACCAAAAGTTATCAACAAAACCAATGCTGAGGTCAAAGGCTAACCCTTGAATTTCTCAGACGTTGCCTCGTCAACTGTGCACTGGAATCCGGTATATGTAGTGGTACTAAATGCATACATATTCTTCTTTGCCTCTTCCATGCTGCAAAATGAGCAGACCATCAGACTTTAAACAAAATCATCAATCATGTGAATGCTCTCTCTTAAAACTAAAGCTACAAACACAGAACAAGGGAGATCTCTAAACAATAACAAACCATCAAAAAGATACATAAAACCTTCCTATACCCAGTAGCAACTAGCAAGAGATGTTTTGTCTCCTAAAGGCCAATGTTTTGTTTATCCCTTCTTACACATACTAATAGCATAACCTGGAACCATGAATTTTCCAATAAATCAAAGCCTGAATAGTTCTGTTAGATACACAAATATCCCATTATGAACAAACTACAACGAGTTCAAAATTTGTCATTTCTTCTAAAGATATCATTTTGACAGTCCCAACACTATCAACTCCCATATACAGTCTTCTAATTCAAAAATGCTTTTACTCCAACAAAATTTCATAAACGAAACATGCAGAAAAACAAAATTTTTTGACGATATTACCGGAATTTAAACCATAAATGTTATGTAAAGAGAAATGAGCAAGAAATGGACCTGCCAAGAACAGTAGCAAGAGTGTTGAGGTAAGTCTCAATCATCTGCTCCCTAGTGGGAGCAGGATCCTTCGGGAACTCCATAACAATAAGCCAGTGGTTATAGTCGCATCCTGGGAGCATGATGGTCTCCCTAGGCTCGCTACTGCTGCTACTCCGTTTCGCCGAGTAGTCGCCATCAATGGCGGCGCTGATCGAAAGCCGCGATTTGGGTCGGGAGGAAAACTTCCAGCGAGAGCTGGAGAAGGAGATGGGAACTGGAAGGAGCAGCGGAGAATGGTGGGTCGGGGTTAGGGTTTTAGGTAGGAGAGAGGAGGAGAGAGTAAACGCTGCCATCGGAGAAGACGGACCGGAATACCGGAGAGGGTGAGGATGGGATAAGATTAGAGATATTTATTCCCGTTTGGGTTGGAAGAGCCTTGGGCTCTTAGTTTTTTTTTTTTTTTGGTGGAAAACTTGGGCTCTTAGTTACAAACCTGAAATTTGGAAATCTAAAAGCCCAAGCCCAATTTAAAAATTGGGTATTATATTGGTTAGGCTTTTAGTTGGGCTGCACAATCTTAGAGAAAATAAGAAAATTCTCCTTTTTCTCACAAGTTTAGCTTAACACATATGATCAAAATTCTTTTACCTTTTTTTTTCGTACGTTTAATTTTTATTTTAGTGTTTGAGCATATGTTAATAAAAAAGGTGAAAATTAGGATGCTATGATTTTCTTCTACATTCTACATTCTTATTTTCTTGATTTCTCTTTTAATTTCTATCTACTCAAGGGCTTAACAAAATGTACTCAATGAATTTTGCAAATGAATTAAAGAAGTTGTTTGACCAACGATTTAAATAACTTAGTGATTATCTCTTTTTGTTAGAAGTAAGAGATCTTAAATTTGAGTTGCATGACATGTAGGTGGGTGGGATAAGGGATGGAAAATAGTTGCCTCCCATTATGCAACCAAAAATAAAAGAAGAAGAAGAAGAAGAAATTGTTTGGATCAACTGTTTAAATGTCACTGATAGTTGATAATTAAAATTTAACAACTAATAATCATTATTATTTATATTTAAAATTATTTAATCTATTTAATTACATTTAATAGTTAATAGATATTTGTAAACCTTCAAACCAAACATTCCCTAAGTCTTTAAGCGTGGAGGCTATTGGTGTTGTTTTTTGCATTGACAAATGGTACTAAATTTTGTTGGTGAGTGTGCTTACAAGAGATTAGGTGCATATTACATCACCATAACAATCAAACCCAGTTCAAAATAATGAATCTATAATTTTTTAATATAATCCTGAATCTGACCAAATTACAGTACATCATCAACAGTTGAACAAATCTTGTCTGTTTAGAGTAGGAGCAAGGACGACAAGGAAGAAGAGACAAATATGTGGACAGAATTAAGGAGGGCAGCTCAAACCAACGGCCTTTTGGGGTGGTTTGGACAGATCTAACCGATCATTTCCATAGTTTTATTTTTCCTTGGGATTGAATCATGTGACTCAATTTTAACTTGACTTTTGTACCTGCACTTCTTTGATTATACATGTATTTTTTTTAAGTTGCATTAATGAATTTCCGAATCTTGTGATTCTGAATGACATGGCCGGGATTATGTGTATATCAAATTGAGTTTGTCTGCGGAATTCAGGAGCAGTTTAACCTTCCTGTGCGGCTCATTTGGAAGGTAGTTTTTGGAGGAAAGCTATATTGACCCTTGAAGGATAAGAGGTTATGTCTGATATTGTTTGATTTAAGTTGGTAATGTGTGTGGCAGACATTATCTCAACTTGTTTCTTCCATGCTTAATTAATTGTCCCTAACTCAACACACCTTTGTCTGAGATTCCTCCCCCTTGATTGTTGATTGTCTTCAGTACTTTTGTCCCTATCATCTTTCGGACAACTTACTTGCCCATCCTAACTTCATTTCCAGACACATTCTTCTGGAAAACTCAGATTGTACATATAAAAATGCGTGTGCTCCAACATTATTAGGGTTTTGGTTAATTGAATGAAACCTCTAATCTTTATATCAAATCCTACTTTGTTGATCTCCACTAGTGTTGGAAACTCATATGTTTAAGGAAAGACAATGTGGAGAGGCCAACTGAGATGAGACAAAGGGGAGGGGGGAATTAAGGGAAATTTAAGAGTAGTCTGGAGAAAGAAGTGAGAAAAGCAGTGGATACTTTTTGTAAGAATATTCCTTTGTAATAATTTATTTTACGTGAATTGTAAAACAATTAACTATCAATAAAAGGGTGAGTATTTAATATTAAAGAGCCTCTTCCTTATTCTTCAAAAGTTAATTATTTTACAATACATATAAGGCAAACTAACCTTTACTCTTCTGTTTGCAATTATGACAAAATAGAAGAAGAAAATACCTTGTAAAACTTCCCCATGTCCACGGATTTTGAAAGTCCTTTGATCAATTACAATCAATTTGACCCATCTCCAAATTGTTTCAATCTGTGTAATAATGATGTTAAGAGCCAGTGTGGCTATATACGTACAAGTTGGTAATATCGATTGAAATTGACAAAAATGCCATTTCGTCAATTCATTCAAAAATCTGATAATGTAATTTGAAAAATGACTTTCTAAAATTTAGATTTGTTTTAAAAGGTAATGTGATTACATTTGATTCAACTCTAACTATTTTATAAATTAGAGAAAAAAAAAGAGCATTAAGAGTGTGAAAAACCAGGAAAAAGAACATGAGCTGACAAGAAGGACCATATTTCAATCAATGTCTTGATATGGGGCCCAAGTGTGAATAAAGGAATGTCTCAGTCAATAATCCACGTCAACCCCACCAAAGTTCCTCACTTAATTTGGTCACACTTCATAAAATCCATAAATTCAATGATTAACAACCCGTTTTGTTTTTCTTTGAAATTTAGATGTAATTTTTCTTTACAAAAAAAATTCAGACCCAAGAAAGTCAATCCAGATATATAACTACAGATGTGGAGGGAAACATGCACCTAATTTGAAGAAAACTAAGAATTACATGAATAGGGGAGAAGTAGTTGAGAAGAGAATTATTACAAGGTTTAAACAAGTAATATCTAAACCCATAATATTTGGCAAAATAAAAAAAATAAAGAAAAAAAAAACCTAGACATTGATCATCATCATACCTTATGTTAGAAGAAGCAAGATGATAGGGCTTAAATTAATTAACTTTAATTTCCCTTTAATCATTCTCTCATTAAGCATGCCTTGGCGACGCATGGATATGATAAATAATGCTTCTCCCTAACCTTTTTGTTAAATGATTTAATTAGAAGCTAAATATACTTTTATTTAATTTCTATTATCTATTTGCAAGGAATTTCTCCAAACTTTAAATCATTTTCAACAAACTTAAAAATAAAAAATGAGAAAAACATGAAAGTTCACCCACCCACTTGTATATAAAAATGAGTCTTAGGAAAACTATTTTAATTTGATCGCTTTATTGATGGAATAAAGTTCAACATTAAAACTATGAACATAACTCGAAAACTTAGAAAAGAATTAGTGAATATTTAGTAGTGAGTTGAATCTTTTTAATTAACTAACAATCTTTATTAAAAAAAATTTAATTTAAGAAATGAGAGAACCATTTCTAATTATAGCTAGATAGCAAAGATAGCACATGCACCGAGACTAGAAAAGAAATGGACATGAACTACCTAAATATAGGGTAACTTAATATATATGTACTATAAATTAAGCATGCATTAAAAACTTGATATAATCGATTCATTCACCTAATTAAGCATGTTTATTCAAATGTGAAAAGGAAAAGAAACGGGCGGCTCTTGAATGAGTAGTGGCTATTTAACCGAGTTTGTGGTTGACTAAAACAACAAATGAACCATGCACCTCGATCGGCTTGGACTCAGAAAATGTATGGACCCATTTTGAGTTGGACTCGAACCGACTTGGTCAACCCATGGCCACATAACTCAAGCCCTACTAGACTACCATACCGTCACTTTGCTTTTTCTGTGTTTTTTATTTTTTATTTTTTATCTTTTTTGTTCAAATCCTTATATATTGTTTTGTTATTATTATTTTCTTCACCTTTTTCAGTTGTGGCTTGTCGTGGGGGTTCGATGGCATGTGTTTTGTTTCTCCATTACTATTGTCACGTGTGCTTTTTTACCTAATTACCATGTCTTCATTTCACACCTCATCGCTGCCTCACCATTACATCACTCAATACTTTTATACCTATGAATAAACACACAAATGTATAATTATTTCACAAATGACTTATTAATTTAAGTGGAAGATATTTAGTTTTTTTTTTAAATAAAATTTTGAATTTAACTCTTATGAATAAAGAAATAAACATAAAGAAAGGGAAAGCTTTTCTTTTATGAGATCTGATGCAATTTAATTTCAGGTTAATTAAAATTTAATATAACTATCAGATCTTAAAAGATTAATATTAAAAATATATCATTATTCCCATAACATAATTAATTGTAGCTATATATCTACTAATCCATTGTTTTTTTTTTTTTTTGTTTACTTACTATTATAGATTAGTCAATTAACATATAAAAGTTAATTGGAAACCTCAATTTTAACGTTATGTCAAAATTTTAAGGTTAATAAATATTAATTCAATTAAATTTTCTTTAACATGGGCAAGAACGAGCCAATGTAGAGCAAGGGAACAGTGGCTCTCCTAACGTTTTGAAAAATTGCCAAATATAGTATATTTATTTATTTACTAAATTTTGTTTTTAAAGTCTATATTATAGGGACTATTCAAATATAAAGAAAATAATTAAGATTGACCTAGGTAAAGGGGTTATTTTTCATTTTATAACTAATTCTTATAAAGACATAAGAATTTTATCTAGGTTATAACAAATATAAAAAATAATAAAGATTTAGTTTTATTAAGTTTTATTAATGTAACTAATTATATAAGTTACATATTGTTCGGCTGACGTTTCTTAGCTTTTGTATTGTGATGCTATTGGGAATTTAATTCCCAGAATAGTTGTAACCACTTAATTTCTAATCTATCTCGTTATTTAAAAAAAAAAAAAATCTTATATAAGTTTTTATATTACTTATATATAATTTTTTTTTATAATTTATATTCTATTAAACCAAAGACTGTATCTATTCTATTAATATAGATTATATGTTTCAAATTTAAAATTGATTTGATATATGTGATCTTAAAAAAATATATATACATTATATTTTTATATTATTTATTTCAAAGTTTTAAATTATATACTATCTAAAAATAATTAAATATATTTAATTAATTTAAAGAAATTGATATAATTGATATGTGCATAAAGTTAATAATTAATTTAAAATTTAGTATAAATTATATCATAAAAACAAATAAATAATTTATAAAAAAAATTTTAAAAATTTACCCCTAACTTGAAATTTTCACTTCGTCCTAGATGATGTGGGTATATGTGGTGAGTATTAGGGTGAGTCATATATGGGGCATATGACGAGAGATGTAAAGAGGGGAACATACATATTCCAGAGAGAGAAGAAGACAAATGAGAAAAGCCAAGGGGTTGATGGGCAAAACTAACTTAATAGACCCATGATTTTAATTCACCGATGGAAAGTACTACTGACCATGCTGTGCTGTCCTAACTCATCCCCCACAATGAACCAACCTTTGTTTCATGCTCTGCCCCCTGGCGCCTGTTCAGAACCAGATTCAGAGAAGATAAAGAATAATCCCTACTTTTTATTGTTCTTACATTACATGTATACATCAAGTACAGGAGTACAACAACAAGGATGATGCTCCCTTTTCCTTTGCCATGCCTTTTCTTTATGCAAAAGGTGATTAATCCTTCCTTCACATGATCAGTTAATAAAGTAAAGAGCGGATCTTTTTTTTTTCTTTTTCTTTTTTAATCTCAAGTAAAGAACGGATTTAAAGTCATGGAAAGTAATTTCAGTTCAAGGTATACACATCTTTTGTGGCAGGTATGTAGAGATTAGGGATCAACTTCAAAATTTAATTAAAAACATAAATAACCCTACTAGCATCTCATATGTTTGGTAATATTTTTATATAATATTTAATTTAATTTTTATATAAAGACTATAAATTGAACTCTAAATTTACATTTAAAAACACAAGCAACTATGTCATCAAACCATGTGACAGATTGTATAACATTTTTACTAGATTCTTTTGATGTTGCCAAAGGATTTGACGGTCCACGGTTGAGATTTGGAGGGTACTTTAACGGAGAGGGTCAAACGGACCTTACAGGTTGTGAGGGTTTTCTTGGCAAAAGCCCCCCCGGTTTGCCCTTCAACTTTGTGAGTTTGAGGTATTTTACCCCTCATATTACAATATATGAGTTTTTACCCTCTATATTTTTGAGTTTAGGGAAATGATGCAATATTTAACACTGGAGAGTTACATGCAGCACGTGCATCATTAGCCTCCGTCATATATTCACATGTCAGCGCTAACTTAGATTTTTTTGACATATTGGCAAGTCCAACTTAAACCCTTTGTGAGCTAGGATTCTACTGCCAACAATTTAGGCTTTTTTTTTTTTTGTTCCTCCCTTTCCCTTTCCTCTTCCCTTTCCTCTTCCCTTTTTTCAACTTCTGCAAACCCTAACATCTCAACCAATCTCTACTGTTGTTGGGTTTTTCATCATCATTAAACAACAAAACTCACAAAAAAAAAAAAAATTTTAAATTTTTTGCCACTAGGTTCCATAGAATCCACGCCTGAGTTCCAATGAACCTAGGCATGGGTTCCATTAAACCTAGCACTTGGGTTCTTTTTGGATTCCATCGAACCCAACGCCTGGGTTTGAAGAAACCCGCGCATGGGTTCCATCAAACCCAGGCATGCTAGGTTCCAAGGAATCCACACTTGGGTTCGATGTTGTTGGGTTCAGGAAAGAGAAGGAAAAAAAAATAAGAATGAAATTTTTTTTATCATATTATTATTTTTTTCATGTCATTATTATAAGTCAACAAGTAGGACTCACAAGTTAAAATTGTTGGTGGGATAGCGTTGATGTGTGAATGTATGATGGAGACTAATGATGCACGTGCTACACGTGACCCTCCGACGTTAAATTTTGTCTTATTTCCCTAACATCAAAAATATAGAATGTAAAAACTCATATATTGTAATATAAAGGGTAAAATACATCAAACTCGAAAAGTTGAAGGGCAAACTGGGGGTTTTGGCCGGTTTTCTTTTTCTTTTGGTTGGGCGTTCACAGGCTGCGAGTATTGAATAGTATTTGTAGGCCAAATTAAAATGATTCGCTGGAAGAAAGAAGCTGTCTCCATCGGATTTTTGACTCTTGCGGCGCCGGGCAGGCCCCCCTCCGGACCTCCTCCTCGTGTCGCCTCTCACGCCCGCGTGCCTGCGTCCTGGGTCCCTCTTTGACTCGTTGATCTCCTTATCTTGCTCATAAAATTCCCACTTTGCTCTCTCACAACCTTGGAATAAATTGCTGAGTGCTGACTAACAAAATTACATATATAGTAATGTATTGGGCACATACCTAAAAAAAAATTTAATTTTAATATAATGTATGTATTTCTAAGACCATTTAGTGAAAATTAATCTTAAAGTGGAAATTTTGATTCAAAAATATATATCTTGATCATCCAAAGCTAAAATAAAATTTACAAATGTCTCAAAAAAAAATTTACAAAAACTAACAAATTTATAATAATTAAGTTTTAAAATTACAGAAAACTGTTTTACAGGGCAGAGCAGTCCGTCTTGTAAAATTAATTAAATGTTTCTGAAAAAATAATATAAAAATAAATTTAAAAGTATTTAAGTAATTTTATAAAATGAACTGCATATAATTCGTCCTGTAAAATAATTTTCTCTTAAAATTAATAAATTATGACTTAATTAAGTCGATGAAGTATATCATTCAAATTCATCGTATGTATAAAAAAAGAAAAAAAAAAGAAAAAGAAAAAAAAGAAAGAAAAAGAAAGAGAGTGTATCTCTCTCTTAGATTTTGAGGAAAATTTTGGATCCAACTCATCTAACTTACCCAACTTTTACTTTTTGCTTCTTCAGGTCAACTTCTAGTATCTTCTTCAATTTTTTGAAACGTTATCGCCGACAATTAAGATTCAGTCTTGATAAAATCATGAGTTTAAAGAAGTTGAATTACGTGTAATTAAGTTGTTTTCAAACATTCGCGTGTTTTTTTGTTTGAGGGGTATGAGAAACGATCTTAGATAAGGTGTGTGGTCCAATTTTAGTGAAGGCCGCCATCTGGGTTTACTCAAAATAAATAAAAAAATAAAATGAACAACAAATTCAATCACTTTCCTACAATCCTACTTGAATTGTTCGTTTGAGCGTGGAAATCTGAATTAGAAAATTGAGAATATCTTTATGGAACAATTTAAGTCGGCTTTGATTTTGTTTTTCTGGTCTCTGTCGTTGACTCCTTTCCCTTAATCCTTTTTTTTTTTTTAATAATCCTTTGATTTTCTTATAATTCTAATTATCGTTTTGTGCAAGTACTCTTAGGTGCTGTTTGAATTTTAGATTAGAGATTTTCTCAAAGAAAATTTGGGACCAAGTCGAGTTACAAAAATCACGACTTTCTCAAATTCCCTTTCTTTTTTTTTCTTTTTTTTTTGGGAAGCAATAGCAAACCAAACACGACATTATTATGTTTTTACATTTACTAATTTTGTATTTGATCCTCGCTTAGATTTTGTACCAAAGAAGATCTTCGTAGAAGTTAAGCCATAAATGGATTCTAGTTAAATTTGGTTTGCTTTTTTATTTCTATTGAATCATGGAGTTGATTAGGAATGCAATTATTAAGGAAATAAGAAAATTAAAGCATAGTCTTGTAATATACATAAAGAATTAAGTTAATCATGTGCAAAAACTTATCTATATTATCAATGGTTGATTTCTAAATTCAATAATTTGAGATGTATTATTAAATATAATCCAATCTTTTTAATTAATAAGTTTAATTAAAAACTAATAATTTATATAAAATTCACACATGAAAATAAATCCTGACTCTTGTGGGAGAGAGGATATGAAAGGATCCAAACATATAACAATGACCTTTTTCTATATATGTTCTATAACAATAAATACAAGCATTACATTAAAGATAATATATGCTAAGAGATGATGAATGTCAGGAAAACACTTCCCTCTGATTAATGGAATCATGTTGTACATCAAATGGAAAAACAATGGAATCATGTTGAAATGAATGTGCAGTATTAATTAACCCTTACTATACCTCGTATGTATTATTATACCTTTCCAATCCCTTTTTTTTTTTAATGAACTTTCCAATCCTATTAAACATAGGACTCTCAAGTATCCAAAATGATAAACATGATGTAAATATAATATCGTATATAACAACTTTACAGAAGAAAGACACTTCCAAATTTCTTTATTTTATGCTTCTTAATTTCTAAATAAATTTATTATTATATAATTTAAATTGTAAATTATTTTTTCAATTCTTGATAGTTGATACTACTACTTATTATCCACTTGGTAAAGATAAAAGACACGCGCCTATGCACGCACCATGGCTGCTCAAAGAAGGCATAATTTACTCAAAGAAACAATCATGTACATTTCGGACCGTCAATTGCCAATGGACCATAAATTTCAGGTTTATCCAACCGTTCCCCTTTATAATACACCAAAAAAATATCCACCGTTGGATTCACCCAAGAATTTGGTCCAAAATCATGACGTGGCAGTCAGATGGAACACCATCATCATTCCACACCCCTTTATTCATAAGGTAACAAATTAAATTATTTTCAAAATCGAACCGGCCTTTAACTTTAATAATTTGATCCCAAACTTTAAGTACTTGAGTGAGGTGATCAGAGTTTCGAACTCCACCATCATCGTAAATTTTATCAAAAAGCGGTTCGATAACTGCGCACCTCATTTGAGGGGGGTAAAATATTTATCTAATTTAAGAATTAATTGCTAACAATTAACTCATATTAATTTCTTAATTATTACTGTATAAAAAAATATATATTTTTTCAAAATCAAATAAAACAAAAACCTTTACCATTTTTTATACTAAAAAAAAAGGTAAAGATAGAGAACAAATTTTAATACCCAATTAATTAAAAAAAGAAAGTTAAATTCGATTCAAATGCTTTCTCATTTGTCCAATCCAATCATCCCTCGAAATGTCAACCAAATTCTGGCAATTTCTGATTTCCTTCACTCCGTACTCCTTTTTTTTTTTTCATACACCGGTCCATATATATAAATATAAATTAAGCTCAAAACTTCCTTATACTTTTTCATATTATATATATGTGACTCAAAGAGACAGGGGACTCTACAGACCAAAGCAATAATTAGTAGCAAAAGACTCTATCGGAGGTGGCCATGGCAGAGGAGTTTCAGGCGGGGATTTGTGGCGGGACATCGTGGATGAATTCCTCAAAGGGAGTGTTTGGTGGGTGTTCTTCGCCGATTGCTGACTTAGGGAGCTTCGGTTGGGGAGCTGAAGTGGTGGACGTCAAGGCAAGGTCGTCAGCTTGTGAGGACTCTAATATTACATCGGTTTCTGATAGCCCCATGGCTTTCCAAAGTTTTCAGAAGCCGGAATCCAACGGCAGTGGCGGCGGTGGCGGCAGTATTTTGATGGATTCCACCCTGCCAATGATGGGTTTTGGTCTTTCTTCTTCATCAAGTACCTCAGATTGGAACCCATCTTTGCTGTAAGTAATCTAGTTGAAGTTTAATTTTCTTGTACATGCAGGACTGGGCATAGTAAGTGGCTGAGCTTTTTTACCGCCACGATCTACTGAGATTTAATCTTATAGTTCTAATTAGTTTATTACAATAAATATAAGGTAAAGTTCAAAACTTTGAATTCAAGACACGACCCTTTAGTCCAAAAAGCTTGAACTACAAGTTAGAAAGAAGAATATATACTCATTTGGAAGAGGAAATCAATAATAAGATCAATCAATTAAACATATAATTGTTGCATTTTTTGCAGCCGAGGTAATGGAAGTGCTGAGAATTTCAATTCCATGATTCAAAGAGAAACAAATCCGAGGTTGAATTGCCAACAAGAAACAGTCATGGATTCTTCTCAAAACCAGAAAGACTGGAGTTCCGGTGAAAATTGCTCCACGACCGATTTTCTATTAGATCAACAAAGACTGAACTCCGTGACAAGCTGCGGCAACACTACGGTAGGGTTTCCGGTGGGTTTGGCTTCATCGGTACTGTTACAGAATTTGTTTGTTCCCGATCAACCTCAACCACAGCAGTCACTTTTCAACAACCGGTCAATGAACTATATGTCCAATGAGTTATCACCTTCTTGGCCTAAACTGCAGCCTCCCATCTTCAAACCTTCAGTGATAAAGCAACAATCCGCCGCTGCCGCCGGTGGCCTTCACTTCTCCAACAACACACCTTTCTGGAACGCCTCCACCACCAGCCCTACCCTAAACAATGCTAGAACCAACTTTTTGCCATCATCACAACCACAGTTCTTGGTACCGACATTCGGAGAGAAACCCAGTTGCCCCACCATCACGACCAAGGTAAATTATATTGTCGTTTCGTTTTATCGGTTTAGAAATTAGTACTTTGATATCAAAAAGTTTTAAATCTCGTAATTTGATAACATTCAGAACTACTCTTCACGCTTGGATTGAGGGTTAGGGTTTCTTTGGGTGTTTTTATAAATTATTTTCCCATTTTGGTATTTTATTAGACTGAAGAAGTTCGAGATCAATCCGGAGTGATGAAGAAAGGAAGCACTGAACCTGCATTTAAAAGGGCTAGACTTGAAACACCTTCACCTTTACCAACTTTTAAGGTATGTATATGAGTAATGGTGGGGTTAAGCTACAAGTCTTTTCTTATAATTTTATATTTGTTTTAAGGAAATGGATATTATATATGAGAATTTGATTTGTTTTAAACCCAGGTTCGTAAAGAAAAGCTAGGGGACCGAGTCACTGCTCTCCAGCAATTGGTTTCGCCTTTCGGAAAGGTAAATTTTTGGATTTTCCTTCACCAAAAATCTTTACTTTTTGTGTCTTGCTATTGAAAAGCTTAGCTTATCATCATAGCCATTGGGGTTGATTCATACCTTTCCTTTCCCTTTTCAGACCGATACTGCATCTGTCCTTCATGAAGCTATTGAATGTATCAAGTTCCTCCATGAACAAGTCAGTGTAAGTTTCCACTACCTTTCTTTCTCTCTCTTTTCTCATCTTCTGACAAACCTAATTTTTAGAAACCAATTTTATGTTATTTCAGGTTTTAAGTACACCATACATGAAGCAAGGAGCTTCAATTCAACATCAACAGGTATATACATATAATTACGCAACAAAGAAGAAAAAATCTCCTACTTCGTATGGAAAAATGCAGTGAACTTTTACATCATCTTGAATCATATGTTATATATTGCAGAGGACTGAGAAATCGGAGAATGTAGAAGAGCCACAACAAGATTTGAGAAGTCGAGGACTATGTTTGGTGCCCATCTCGAGCACATTCCCAGTTACAAATGAGACCACAGCCCATTTTTGGACGCCAACATTTGGAGGAACTTTCAGGTAGATGAGAAAAGGGAAAGAGAGGAATTCTTTACCACCATACTACCACATATATTAATCATCAAAACTTCCAGCGGTCGAGTTAGGAAAATGTTAACTTTAATGTAGAGTGCAAACTTAGAAGCTGCATTGCCGTGTGCGGTATGCCTCATGTGTCGATGAAAAGCTAAAGAAGACAAAGAAAAAAGGGAGGAGAATGAAAAGGAAAGGACGCTCCAAAGGCATGGACAGTTAGTGCTGGGCCAACTACGTACTGCTAGCTGAAAATGATTTAGGCTAGCAAATGATTAGGAATTTTTTTTTTTTTTTTTGGTTCCGAGAAAATTAAAAAAAGAGAAAGAGATATATAGCTTATATAGGTCTTGAAATAATTAATCCAATTAATGTTTTGATTTTATAGGTAGAGAGTAGATAGAAAAGGAACAAATGCTAAATCTGACATTATTAATAAGTCTATTAACGATCATTTCTCTTGTTATCCTCGAATTTAGCAGAAATGGAGTTTATTTTTGTTTTTGTTGGTGTATTCTGATTCAAGAAAGGAAAAAAGAAAGATGAATGATAGAGATTATTGTTTCTGCATTTTTTTTAATGAAAAAGTGAATTAGTATGCTCTAATTGAAACCTCAGGTGATTAAGTTAGAGATCTAGCAATCGAAAAGTTCACCAAACATGTCAATATATCATCAACGTCACAAGAAGAAAGAAAATATCAGGGACGGTGAAACAATCTTGAATGGCTTAATCAACTTTGCAAGGATTGAAAGAAGCTTGATTCTGAAGAATCCCCAGCTAGCTGTGACAAAACGACTAATCATGAAAAAATAAATTCAAAGGCCCATTCCATATTTGCTTTGATGATTGGTATCTCCTGCTATTCGATCCCAGTTGCATAACTTTATCATCTATTTGCAGACTTTGAAATTAATCGAACTGATGCGTGCGGGATTATACCACAGGTTGAAGCTATATATACCTTCTCGAGAACTCTTCATAATCTTTCTCATAAAATTTTCCCAAATAGTTTCTTAATGAAAAGAAGAAACAAAGATACAGAGGAATACTGAAAAGAAAAAAGCATCTGGGCATCATTGCCTTGTTCACTTGTTTAGGCTAATCAATGGCAGGATCAAGCATATCTATCTTCTGCCACAAGTTTTCTTGAGCTTTTAAGCAGATAATAATAAAGGGGTTTTTTTTTTTTTTTTTTTTTTCTTTTTGTGTGCTTTGAATCCGATCTTGTACGCCATTTTCGAATCAAAAATATAGAGTAGTAGTAGCTTTTAAGTCTTCCAAACTTTTTCCTGCCTTGTGCTTTCAAGATTGTTTGACCTCTTTAAAATGTTCCTTTCAATCTTAAAAGAATTTAGGCTCTTGATGTGTTGCATTGCATTGCATTCAAAAGCTCAAAAGAAACGCTAAATTGCTAGTGTAAGTGCATGTTAATGTTGTGCTGGTGTGAACATGCATACCATGGAAGTGAAAACTCTGTATAATTGGGATGT